CGCCTAATTTCTTATGGAATCAAGAAAACGGTCGTATCATGGCGATAGACTTCGAGCGGGCAGTCTTGATGGATCTACCACAGCCATCTCTTACCCGGTTGATACCTAGCAAAAGAAAGCGAACACCACAAGCATCATCTTCTATGGTTGTGGCTAAGCTAACTCATCAAGATATATTTGATCGATTGGTAGCAGAAGATATCTTATCGGCTGAGTTCATGTTTTATTACTAGATAGGCGAGCTAGCCAGGTAACTTAGGAAAGCTCTTATTCCGATAATCTTATTTCAATCAATCAGATTATTAAGTATTATATTGCAATAGCTTCTTTTGTTAATATTTACTTGTGCTATCTTCGTATACTTGATGTGACGGTGCTTCGCTTTAATTAACGCGCGAGGTACTTCCCGTTAGCTGTGCAATCCATCAAGACTTAAGTACTCCCTATTTGTAGGATATTTTCAATTAAGAAATGAATATTTAGTTAAAAAAGAGTAGCATTAAATCAGTATGTAGTGGAGTGTAATATTTAGGTAGTAGCTATAATTTTACATATTAGTAAAATGCCCGTTTTTTTTATCCACAATACCTACATGGCAATATCTTTTTACCTTTGGAATAGCCTCAACTTATTCAATTCTACCAGTTTAAATGATGATGTAAAGCGTGTATGTTAGATGATATTTGACTAGCTGCTTGACCCGTTCATGCAAGCCCTCACGGGGAGTCAACGGGAGTACACCCTTTACGTCACAGATAAATCTAGCCTCCAACCTCTTGATTGACTAGTCACACTTCAGCGCACGTCCGATGAGCTTTTTGTAAAATCAATTGAGATATTTCAGTAGAGAGTAAAAAGTCTAATAATTAGTATTGTTTGATAGAACTCGTTTTACATGAAATTTTTATCCTATTTGCATACATTTCAGACCTTATGCGATAGAATGGCAGAGGGAAAAGTTGCCAACTGCGGGCACCAAATACAATCCGTCCCCCGGCCGCGGCATTGCCGGATGTATTATATAATCTAGCTTGGCTTTATAATTAGTAGGTGTACCTAGGTATACTCCTATTTTACATCCCCGGGTATTGTCTCTTGTACAATTGTTAACATTTATTTTTATGGCTTCAAGAAATCAAAGGAGCCATCTTACTCTCAGCTGCGATGTCTGTCGCCGTCGCAAAAGCAAGGTTAGTCATTTCTCAGTAGTTGTTCCAAGCGGTCCCAATCAGGCATATCGTTTACCAATTTCCAGTGCAACCGAATGCGCAACGGGTCATGCCAGAGATGTACAAACGCCGGGATAGAATGTACTACAAGCAGCGCTAAAGGCTCCCGTCCCTACTATCAGACCTCGAAAGAGCAGTTTGAATTGATGTCAGCAGTCGTTCGTCATTTTCTCCCTAACGTATCTTTGGAAATTGAAAATCTGCGGCGCGTTGCCTCAGGTTTGGGGCTGCAAAGACAAACCTTGGTGACAGGTTACCCTCCATCTGTACGAGGACAGATACAGCCACGACATGACCTACTAGGGGCCACAGAAGCTAGCGCTTTCTTGACACCTCAAGAATTCATCATATCCAGTAGTCAATCACAAGTCCCTGATCTTCCAACCATTCCTTCAGACCCTCAAAATCTCCAAGCCGTTCCTGTGCACGCAGACATCGACACGTTCAATAAAACAGAGCAGGTTGTTTCACCTCCACAGTCCCCCTCGTCGCTAGAATATACTGGCCGTCATATTAAGCTAATCGCAGACGCTACAAATAACCTTCGTGGGTACTACATCCCCCTTATCTGCAGGTACACCTGCTGATGCTACGATACAGGATTAGATAACGGGTCAGGATGGGCGTCCTTCTTCTGGAAATTCCATTCGGATTTCTTGTCCACCAACGGAAGTGTCGCTTCGAGTCCTCTTTCCGAATACATGGATGGAAGGCCAGTTGCGGTGATCGTACCAAGAGACCTACCACCTAAAGCCAAAGTTAACGACGCCGCTAAGAAATTCTTCCGTGAAGTTAATAGTATTGTATATGTTTTAAACTTTGAACAATTTGAAGATATAGTAGAGACCGTTTACGACTTAAAAGAAAAGTCTAGCAATGCAAGCGTAGCGATTATGCTAGCGGTGGTAGCTCTGGCGGAGGGCTCAGACCATGCCTTCAACCAGGCATATTATTATTTAGACCATACGGTCTCCGAGGGAAGCCTTGAGAGCGTCCAGGCAATTATGTTATTTGTAAGTGGATTCAATATGCATTTAAGAGTAGTCACTAAGAACGAATAGTCTCTTTGTCGCCTTAACAGGGGTGAACGCAATGCAGGCTGGGTTTTACTCGGATGTGCTCAGCGTATTGCGCAATCCCTAGGCTTACACGAAGGACCAGTGGACCTACCTCAAGAGCGACGTCGCGTCAAGGAAATAAAGGCCATGTTATGGTGGTCTCTCTATTCTCTGGATACAATTCTGACTTGTAGCATTGGCCAGCCTCTCGATTCCAGGACAGCGAGTAAGAGAGATATTCATTGGTTAGAAAAGGTATGAGACTTTGCCTCTTCCTGCATCCATAGTGGCATTTGCTGATAGTATGGTCTAGGATGAGCTCTGTATCAACCCCTACACACCTCCAGGCTACGCGGCAGCATCCGCAAGCTTGAGCATCATTTTGGAAGATATATTATCGCGCCTTTACTTAGATGCATCACAGCCGGACAGTGACAGGTCAGCTGTGGTTGCTGAGATGCTCTCCCGATTGAACAACTGGTTGGAGACGCTCCCACTCCACTTGAAGCCCGATTGTCGTACTGCACCAACGCACCTTCGGGCGGTTAGCTGCCTCAGCCTGCGATACTACGATCATATAATCCTGATCACGCGTCCGTATCTTTTGAAGTCCAACGACAGGGCCCACGAATTTTCGCTTAAGTGCGAAGACGCCAACATAAGATCTCTCGCGATATTGAAAGAACTCAATACTAATCATCTGCTTAGTCATATCAACTACTTTGATGGGATGTATGTTCTATCAAACGGCATGATATTACTGCTCCGAGCTTTACGGTGGCCGACGGCAGGTATACTAGCAGAATTGGAAAGCTATCAACCAACCTTGCAGACGATGCAGCAAATGAAGATTGGAAGGTCAGCTTCGGGTGCTATTGCTTCCTATATTGGAAACCTCAGAACTTTATTGCATCATCAACGGTGAGTGGGTGTATAATCTCTAGTGGGACCTGTAGCTAATAATGATGTAAAGGACAACCATCTCCGGCTCGAGCGAGGGGCAGACGGGCCCCGACCAAGGGGCATTAGAGCAGGCCCTGGAGGAATTATGTAACACTACATTTGCTTCTAATGTCGGCATAGACTGGTCTATATTTCTGACATGACGTACCTAGAAGTTTGGGCTTGGCGGAGTTGGAACGGAACCCGAGCTACGAATGCTGGTGGGGTCGCCGGAACCCGACCAGTGACTACGGTGTTTAGGCACTTGACTATCTTGGCCAGATGCACTGTTAATTATCCGTACATATCTTAATGTGTCGCTCATTCGCTGCAAACAAGGAGACACCTATGCGTGTATACGTATACATATGAAATCCGTGGATTAGAGACTTCGACGCGGGTCCCGAGCGAAGCGAATCTTCATCTTCCTTCCTAAAGGTAATTATGAATTATGTGGGTTTAGAAAACGATTACGGTTTGTTGTTCTATTCTATTTAGTACTAACTGTTGTTGAGAGACTTTGTATTTAAAAATATGGGAGAAAATAATACCAATGTCTCTCTAATGTCGTTGCTGCTTGGTCAAAAACAACGACCGCAGCTCTCTTTGCTCATAATTATCAAAACATCGAAACTACGCAGTCCGAGATATTTTTACAAATTATGGCACTTGATCATGAAGTTATAATTAGATGGCTAGGGGCACTTGGGTTTGAGCGATTATTGGCGGCTGCGTTTCTCGGCATATTGGCAGTGTCTGCACTCTATATCTTCAAGCAGAGGGTTCTCTCACCATTAGGGAAAGTCCCAGGCCCGTGGCTCGCCAGCGTGAGTCCCCTTTGGAGACTTTACTATGTTGCACGGGGCGATTGGCACGATACGGTAATTAAGTTGCATTGCAAATATGGTGAGTGGTACTCTGTCATCACATGCATATAAAGCTCATCTCTTTAGGCCAATTCGTTCGAATTGCGCCAAACGAGCTGTCGACAACGTCGCCTTCCGCTATTCGTATAGCCTACAGCCATTCGGGAAGCCCTTGGGTCAAGGTAAGCGTCTAACCTCGCTGACTCCCTATCAGTTAGTATAGTAGCTCATCTTTACAGGACGAGTGGTATGAGACCTGGTGGGCTGATAAAATCCAACACCCAACTTTCGCCGAGACGAATGTCCATAGACACCGAAGCCAGCGACGCCGGGTTTCCAAGTTATACTCCATGTCCTATGTACTAGGTCTGCAGTGGTAAGTCAAATGAGTCAAAATAAATCTTCTCTCAATTTTGCGTTATAGCTCACCACTGTTCGGGTGTCTATTGTAGCTATACGGACCGCGTTTTGGATAGATTTTTTCAGCAGATGCGGTCCTTGCAGGAGAAGCCTATCGATATAGCTAAATGGACGCAATACTTCGCGTTTGACGTCATTGGAGAGCTAGGGTTCGGTGACTGGTTCGGGAATGTAGATGCTGCTACAGACCAGGAGCACCTTGGACACTGGGTTTTCTTGACTCTGACTGGGCATGCGGTTTTGGGATGGACCTGGTTGCGCGCTCTGGTTATCAACACCAGTCCCGTTCAGTGGCTTCTTAATAAGTCGTTATACAAATACACAAGAGAGAAGATGTCGAGCAACCCCCTGGGTGAAGTTTTGACGGTATTTGATTTCAGTCTGAACTCTCTTTACTTTACTCTGCTGGTCGGAAGACTGACCATTATGCGCAATAGAGAATTATTGCGAAGCTAGGCAATCCAACTACAGACCAACACGATAATATGGTTCGATTTATCAAGACGATGAAGAATCCGGATGGAAGCGAGGTACACGAGCGGCAGAAGATGATCGAGATTGCGAATCTCATTTTGGCTGGAGGAGATACAACTGTAAGCATCGTCTATTTACGTTACTTTGGCCGAGGCCTAAAGTAAATTGACACATCTATTCAGGCTATCTCATTGCGGGCGATCATCTACTATGTATGCAGCCATCCACATGTATGCGCGAAGCTGCAGCAGGAAATCGACAATGCCACGAGGTCGAACAAACTATCGCCTATCGTAACCTTTCAGGAGGCCCAGGAACTTTCCTATTTTCAACTGGTAGTTAAGGAGGCTCTCAGGCTTTACCCAGCCGGTACGTCCTGCAACGTATTAGTCTACAGTTTTATGTCCTCAATGTCAAGTCTAATTATACATAGTGGGATATCAGCTTCCTCGGATTGCCCCGCCAGGAGGGGCTAACATCGATGGCGTTTACATTCCTGCGGGGGTACGATACATTCCGCCGTCGGTAGATATGATGCTGACTCGAGTTTTAGACCATCATGGGCACGAACGGATGGGCGCTCCATCGAAACGCGGGGATCTACGGTTCAGATTGCGAAGAATTCCGCCCTGAGCGATGGCTAAAGAAAACTACGGCTTCGGATAAGGCAAAGCTGATGGAGGAGTGCTTGGGAAGCTTCGGTTTCGGCAGCCGGACCTGCCTCGGAAAGAACTTAGCAATGATGGAGATATCCAGAGTGCGTCATACCCGATCCGTAACTCTTCAAAGATGATGTGCATAGTACTAAGCCGCCTACCAGTTAATCCCAACACTTTTCCGCGATTTCAACGTGGAAATCTGCTATCCGCAGAACCCGTGGATAATCACCACAGGCTGGTTTGCTTTCTCGAGCGAGTTTTTCGTTCGAGTCAGCGCTAGAAATGGTACATCTAATGACCTAGGTTCTAAACAGGCCTGACAGCTTCGATATAGCATGATCTGAGCTGCGGACCGTTCGAGGCGGGATTTATAATATAGAGTTCCCCATGAAAATGGAAGCAATATGTGCCATGTAGTTAGATGGCCGCATATCCCGACCGAATGTATGCATATATGTCTTAGAAATATTAGAACGGAAAACGACTATGGTTAGATTGTCTGCGGATAAATAATGGAATATAGAGACGGGAAACAATAATTTACTTGGTTGCATAACGCCTAAAAGTATTTCTCTTAATATAGGACAATATATACAAGTTTGTATGAGGAGATAGATGTGTACCTTTTGACAACGAAAACTTGGTTGGTGAATAGGATATAGCGGTAGTGGCTACAGTGTGCTAATGATTTATTCTCGAAGTAGACTTTTATTCCTATAAATCTAAGAGAACGGTATAACGCAGAAAATTGATGCTTAGTGGATGTAATATCAAGTCAAATAATCCTCATGAGTTATACCGACCTACAATCTATGAACCTACGGCCCTAATTATAGCCCTACATATCTACTTCCACCTTACAAACTTATATATTGTAATCAAATTTGCTGTACGCACATGGATAGCCATATATTGCCCTTTAATTGTAAAGTTATTTTGACTAGTCAAGGTTTATTTCCGAACTCGGCTTTGATCTCATCTGTGACGCCATGCATATCACACAAATCCTCAGCCCCAGGCAGATCTTTCCCATCCACCCATGAGCCGTGAATCCCATTCCGAAGTCTGAATGGGAGCTCAATAACCGCAACAGGGCCTTTTTCCATATCAAGCGTATCCAGAATGATGATATTCGTTAGTAGTGTATCGCGCCTATTAACTATCGAGACTAGGTATCCGTCGGCCTCGGGAGCTTGGGAAGGAAAGCTAGGTTAGTAAGGGACCTCCGCAGAAAAAAAAGGGGGTGGGTTCGCTTACCATCTTGATGTCTCGGGATGAACGCCACCTCGTGCACGGCAATACCGGTACCTGCATACCAGTACTCGTATGTCCCATCGTCGACATTACACTTTGCAATGGCATTGTAGCTACCACCGACTGGTTCCTCCTTAGCGGTAGGGTTGTGCATCGCCAAGAAGAAATACTTGTACGGCTTGGTGTCGTAGCGCGAATCAACTTTCGGCATTTCTCCATCTAGATCTACCATTTCGACAGGCTCGACCTTGAGAGTAGTAGCATTTGGGTCTAATTTCCAACGTACGTAATGGCTGACAGGGCCGGTTTGGGGGGGTTTTGCCGTTTCGGTCGTGTGCATATCTTCTCCTACTGGAGGGAAGAACCAGAACTGAACCGTTCATTAGTATTGACTTTTATTTATTCTAGATGGTGTAGGTGTGATATCAAGTATTTCCTGCTTACTTTATTCTGATACGTCAGTGGTGCGTCGAGGTAAATACAACCGTCTTTTTCGAAGGCATTACCGGTGTGGCCGTAGAATGCGTTCTTGTTCTCAAACCACTTCACATCCTCCAATCGAGGATTCCGGCGTGGGACAATGCCAAACATGAGAGGCTTCTCCTTATCCCAGGCAAAGTGTTTATGACCTTGTTTCAAAAGATCCATCGAGACCGCCGCTAGCGGAGTGAGGACAAAGATTACCCAGTGATCTGTAGCTCCCATGTCGTGCATCATTCCAGAATATGGTGCATTGAACCAGAACTCTTCGAGCTTTTTTCCGTCCTTGTTAAAGAGGAAATAGGCTATGTCCGTCGTCATGTCACCCTTTGCTTCATAGCCCATGGTGATAAGTTCGCCCGTGTGGGGATCGATTTTGGGATGAGCAGTAAAGGTTGGAGAGGTATACTGCCCGTGGAAGTCGTAAACGCCTTGTATGTCACACAAGTTAGACCCATGACGGGTAGACTACAGTTATATCGATACGGAAGGAAGCAAGAGCTGTGTGGACTGAATCCTGATATTGCTTACCTATAGTCTTTAGCGAATCTGGATTCATTGCGTAAGGGAGAGAGTCTTCCTTCAGAGCCAGGAGCTGTTTCTCGAAGTAGATCACATGCGTATTCGCGGTAGAGTGGATCTTGTGCCGCACGCGAATGTCGTCGGTATATCGATTTCGATATTTGCCAAAGACAGATTTACGCGCAGCTCGCTCGATAACGAACCTCTCAGTTCGAACGAACTTTTGCTTGAAGTCTGCATGGCCATCCTTGATGCGCACGGCGTCGATTGCACCATCGCCGTTGATGAAGACATCGTCTTCATACATCGGACTCCATAATTGGTCAGGCATACAGCGATAGTAAGTGCCGTCGATCTGCTTAGGTATCTCCCCGCGTACAACACAGTTGTATACCTCGGCCTCGAAACGACACGGCGCCTCAGGTCCGGTAAAAAAGGGGGTTTCAGGGTACTTTGTCTCCGGTTGCAATTCAAGCACGGCCTCGACAGCCCTTAGGTCAGGAATGTGAGTTTCGGACATGTTGATTTTGATGGATACGAGTCCGTAACTAATGAACTATTCTCTAGTCACTTGGAAAGCCTGGAAGATTGCAAAGTTGTAACTTATACGTTAGATACCTAGGGTTTATAAGCAATCCTGGACTAGGTAATAGATGGTTACTCCATCCAACTTCGTGTAGGTAAAGGCCTAGTTACTATGTACATATGTATATTTAAGGGTAGTTATTTTTGTGGTGTAAAGTGTAGTAAGATAGAAATGGATACCGGTATCATGAATGCCGCTGAACCTCACGGAGGAGCCGCCAACCCGACACCGATGGGACCCGACATACCTGGCATGCATGGATTGCTAATTGCTAGTGCCTAGTGTCGGGTTGCGACTTGACACTCCCTCGGACCCTGCCCTGCCGGTAGTTATTAGCTTGATAGTTACCCACATGCACGTACAATTGTAACATCAACTATCATATTAGGAGAGCGAACACCAGTTCCATACCACGCACACCTTAGTCACAATCAAGCTACGTTTTCTTCCCCGTAGGTTAGTTTGGTCAGCAAATGTTGCATTCACTTACTATAGGATCGAATACGCTTAGCTCAACTATTGTTGTATTGATCTAGGACGGAAAGGAATCTAGGAATCTAGATTGTGGGCAATGGAAAGGGATCTACATATTGTAACAGCAGACAAAAACCGGACATATTTTCAACGGTGAGACGTCTTAAATATCTGGTAGAGAATATTACAATGCAGGAGAAGACTTTCACATACAAGACCGTCGACGGCGGTGAGGCAGTAGACTTGACGGCCTGGTGGGGTACAAGCAGTCCATACGCATCAAGACCAGTTGGTAGGCTCATTTCCTCAGCCCCTCACGGAAGAGATCGAAGAAGCATACTGATCGCCGCTCTAATACAGTTCTTTTATTTCATGGTGGGGGATTTGTCATTGGCTCTCGGTTCGGAGTTGCCTCTCAACCGATTAGAGATCTCGTAGACGCCGGTTTTGTCGTCGTCTCGGCCGACTACTCCCTCTGCCCCCAGGTGTCACTTTACGATGGTCCCGAGAAAGATGCGAAAGACGCTTATCGCTGGTGCAAGGAGAAGCTTTCTGGTCTTTTAGCCAACGATGGGGTTTTGGTTGATCCCACGAAGGTTATGACCCTAGGATATTCAGCTGGAGCAACTTTGGCACTTTGTCTTGTCAGTGCCATCTAACAGAGTTCTATCCTGATTTCCTACTGATTGATGACATTGTAGGGTCAAGAAGTCGACCCTCCCATCGCCATTGTGGACTTCTATGGCGCGAAGCTGTTCAAGGATAGTTTCTGGTCTGCTCCATTACCAATGCTGGCTCAGCTGCCTGCCATGCCTGGCGAGTTTCTTAACAAGATCTTTGACGAACCAGTCCAAACAAATACGGGAAGCTCACTTGAGTCGGCTCCCAAACCAGAAAAATCACAGGAGAGACCCAAGAAGGGACTTCCGCCCCCTGACCTGACCAATCCTCGTAACGCGTGGCTTTTCAGCGCTTTAAAGGACGGGAGCCATCTGGCAAAGATCGTGCAAGATGGTGACTTGGATCGCGTCGACCCAGTGCACACTTTCTCGTCGAATTTCCCGCCTACCTTTTTTATTCATGGAATAGCGGATCCCATGATCCCGTCTCGGCTCAGTGAGCAAGCATCACAGAAGTTGAAGGATCTTGGGGTGGACACCGGGATTGCTCTTGTTCCAGACGCTTCGCACGGCTTCGATCTAGGGTTAGAACCCGAAGACCCTCAATACCAATATGTCAGGCAAGCCATAGCGTTTCTTCAAAAGCATGTTTATTTGGGTACATGACTGGTAAAAAGGAGAAAGAAAATCTTCATAGACGTTAGGACCAAAGAAAATTATTAGTTGCATAGAACCTCATTTCCAAGCCCTATAGCCCTTGTCACCTACATACATACATCTCACTACGATTACATTTGAAGTTACTCAAATTTCGAGCTAACTATAGCAGCTAGCACTCACAGTAGCTTTAGCTAAGAGGGATAGTTACACATAGTTGGTGGTGGTAGCTAAAGAGGTACATCTCTTGTGTAAGTGGGACACAACTCAAATAGTAAAGCTCTAACTAAGCGTCTTGTTAAGGACTGCTTGGACCTTGTGAAAGTCTGGCCATTCAGACAACTTTTTAATCTTCTTTCCATCTTCCGTCATAGTAAGAACAAATACATAATCAGTGCCGTACGGCCCGGTTTCCAATAGCCCTTTACTGCTACAAAGCATTGTCACTGTCCTCTTTTCTAGGTCTGTATATATCTCGTTGATGGTGATCTTAAATTCCACCAACATCTTGAAAAATCCCGATGCTCGGTCGTACGTTCGAAATCTAGATTGAAATCGCTACATCAGTATCAACTTCTCATATTTCTCACTCACTACATATCCACCTCTCATAGAAAGGATAGCATTTGCCACTAACTGTTCTCGAGTCATCGGAAATACACCCTCTGTATCTGGGTGAACTGTATAGTGGATATCGTCGGTCCATCTCGATACGACATTATCTAATGACCTACTCTCCAAATCAGAGATCCAACCGGTAGCTGTTCCATGAAGGATTTCTTTTAGAGACATGATAGTAAATTTAAAAAGTAATATGAGAAGTAATGATGATAGTATGATGTATTTGTTAGTGTCTCTTACTGGCTGATTTGTTACTCCTTTATATTAAAAGCCTGGATATACAAAGTTTCGGGTACACGAGAGTTCTCGGCACCGGGTGAAAGACAGTCTCCGAGAAAGTCTCCGAGCATACGAAAGTCTCCGAGTGCACACAAAAGTATGCAGCGCTATCTTCTTCAAGAGCAAATCTTACTATATAGGATACATTGAAAACGAATTTGCATAATGCGTCCTAGGATTATATTAAGATGATGATATATAGCGAACTAAATATCTCAGTATCGTCGTGTACAGCTGTAAACTAAAAAGAAATCATAAGAGTTGTAATTAGATCAATTTTAAGTTTACAGTTTACGTAGATACATGTAGGTAGCTTTTATCAACCTACTACATAACAGTGTATGCAGTCAGTAGCGTAGCTGAGTACTGTAGGAATGTGTAATGAGATAAAGGAGTATTCAAGATTTTAAAGGGAAGGGTGGATTCACTAGAATCTTTACCAGGTACGAAGTATGTTAGAGGCTTTTGCATTCACTAATACCTTGGTATGGAACGTTGTTTAGCCGATTGAAAAGTAACGATAGGTGCACAGTTATGTATACTCGGGCTATTGTGTAACCCGAAAGGTTGCCTCCAGTTTATCTTGTCGGATTTGAACCAATATGCTATTATATAAAATCCATCTTTTAACTTCATTTAATCATCGAAGTACAGCTTTAATTCTTACTATAATTGTTTTACATTCTCATTATGTGTTCAAATAGTTTAGACTCTAAGGATGTAGCGCTCATCTTTGGGGCATCAGGAATTGTAAGAGCTATCAAATTTCTGTCATATGCCGAGCTGATTCTACATTTAGACTGGTTGGCCTTTGATGCGTGAATGTCTCTCATATCCATCAAAGAACACATTCTCTCGTGTACTAGGCTTGAGTAACCGGCCCCTGTCCAGAGAGACAGCATACCTTCCTGATGACCCTCGATTGGAGATATACACTGGCATCGATCTCCTTGACAAGGATCAAACTAGACAAACGCTGGAGACAATCCCGGCTATTGGCGAAGTAACACATGTCTATTTTGTTGGTAGGTCGCAACTCTATACGGCTGTAATCATCTCCGTTGTTTAACGCGTTTTGGTAGCATATACTGGACATGGACGTACCGCTGAGGAACTAGTGAGGTTGAATTCAGCTCTTGTCGATCACGCACTCCTAGCACTCAAGAAACTGTGTCCAAGGATGAAATTCTTTACGCTCCAGACTGGTGGAAAGGTAAGCATTATCTTACTCGTGCGAATACTGATTCTTACTTCAAAAGGGTTACGCCACAGCCGGGGTACCATGGCCACCTGCACCTTGGAAAGAAGATCTTCCTCGTCTCCCGGAGCCTTATGCTTCTAAAATCTTCTACTATGCAGTCTACGATGTTATGATTAGACATGCTGCTGGGAGTTCTTGGCAGTGGTCTGAAATCAGACCTTCTTACCTGGTATTAATAAATCCGGAAATTCTCACCTCTATCGTTCAAGTTTAACTGACCACTTCTTGATGGATTCTAGCCTGGGTTTACTCCCCATCATAATGCCATGAGTATAGCTCACTCACTTGGGCTATTCATCGCTTTCTATCGCTCGGTGAAAGGTGCTGGGGCTACCTGTGCTTTCCCGGGAACTCCGGGATCTTGGGAAGCGTTGCACTCAGACTCATCCCAAGATGTAGTTGCGCATTTTCATATATATACGTCGTTACATGGTGATAAGACACATGGGCGCTCGTTCAATGTTGCGGACGGTGAAGGGACCTCTTGGAAGGTTAAATGGCCTATCGTCTGCAACTACTTTGGCCTGAAAGGTGTTGGACCATCGGCACAAGTTGCAGGGGAGCTTCAGGGTACAAAGTGGCTATTGGCACAGAAATACTTGTGGTCGGCATGGGCCAAAGATAACGGGCTTAAGGGAGATGTTCTAGAGAATATGCAGTGGGATATTCTCGACACAGCTTTGTCTCTTCCACTGCGAATAGATTATGATCTAGGTGCCTCTCGAGAGATTGGGTTTCAAGAAACCATGGACGTCGGCAAGGGTTTCCTGGTGGCTTTTGACCGGTTGAGAAGGGCGAAGTTCCTACCCTAAGTCTACCATTTGTATTGACACTGTACTATATTTGATGAATCGCTATGTAGTTGTAGTGACTTTACGGAAATACGCGACTTTGAAATTGTCCATTTCAGACTTTTCAACTGTATGCTAGGACAAAAGGGGCTCATCCATGAGATTGGCTATGAGCTAGATAATATTCAGAGAAGTAGGAGCTTCGGCCAAATCAATTAACTTGAAACGAGAATACAGTTGAGAACGATTACTATATTTTATACGTCTCATTAGCCTACTACTCTGAATACATACTGACCACGAGATCACTGCCCCTTACAACGTATTCCCAAGTTGCTCGGCACGCCAAGTGATCTAACTCTGGCCACGATATGTTCACACCGCTTAACACAAGAATTCATCTGCCGTAGCACTAGGATAGGACCGGATATGTCGGATCTATGATGCTCTGTGGTTTCCTTTTGCCTTTTCGGACTCTCGGGTTCTTATATCCTCCCAGGTTAATTGATTACAAAGCTTCCTCTAAGGACCGGAAACGTACATATAACTATAGGCAACCTGTAAAAAGGTTGCCTTCTGGTTTCCTCCTATAGCACGGGCTTCTATATCCGAAAGGCCAACATCGCGATGGCACATCACTTTTCCCACCTGCCGGCGAACATTCCGGGGAAGCCCACACCCTTCTCATTTCGAGTTTCCGACCAGGATCTTTCAGATTTCAACGAACTCATCAGGATCTCTAGGATTGGGCCGACGACGTGGTGGAACCAACAGAACAACGGCCAATTCGGCGTCACTCGAGAATGGCTGATTCAGGCCAAAAGTACTTGGCTTGGGACTTTTGACTGGCGTAAACACGAGGAGCACATCAATACATTCCCGAACTATAAGATCGACGTTGAAGATCCAGAGGTCGGGGGGTTCAATATCCACTTCGCAGCACTTTTTTCTCTGAGAAAAGATGCAGTTCCCATCATCTTTATGCACGGTTGGCCGGGTTCTTTCCTTGAGTTCCTTCCTATGATGGAGCTGTTAGTGAAGAAATACACACCGGATACGCTGCCTTATCACATCATCGTACCATCCTTACCAGATTACGGACTCTCGTCTGGTCCTACCCAGAACGTCGAAGTAACCCTAGAGCAGGCTGCACGAGCCATGAACCAGCTTATGATCGACCTAGGATTCGGTCATGGATATGTTGCCCAGGGTGGTGATGTCGGCTTCATGTTAGCTCGACTGATGTCTACCCGGTTCAGCGAATGCAGAGCTTTCCATGGTAAGTAACACAAGACTATCCAAATAATCTTTAACTCGCTAAAAATTTCCAGTCAATATACTTAGCTTAAACCTAGAAGATGAGGTAGACACCACTGAGAAGCTAAGCATTGAAGAGCGTCAGCAACTTGAAAGGGCAGAGGTGTGGCAAAAAACGGGCTCGGCGTACGCTTTCGAGCATGGGACCCGTCCCGCCACAATCGGATTGGCTCTATCTTCGAGTCCCCTTGCTATGCTCCCTTGGTTAGTTACTCGTGGTTCTGTTGCTATCTGATCCTCTAGGCGACCTGCTAATAAGTCTAGGATCGGTGAGAAGTTCCTAGAGTGGGTTGATGATCGAGAGCCGTTGCCTCTTGACACAATCTTGTACATGGTCAGCTTTTACTGGTTTACATCTACCTATCCACGTAGCCTATATCCATACCGAGCACTCGTGGGTAGTGATAGATTATCCGCCGCGCTCCCTATCTCGAAAAACAAGCCGCTTGGGTATTCGGCTTTTCCACGCGAGCAGGCTATCTTACCCAAGGCCTGGGCAGAACAGGTCTACCCAAACCTTGTATTTTATAAAGCACACTCTAAGGTAAAATGCCGACAGCACCAGGTTTTGTTATTACTGACATGGACTTTTAGGGAGGGCATTTCGCTGCATTGGAGCAACCGACGACCTTTTTAAAAGATATCGAGGATTTCATACAACTTTTAGCATGAGGTCTTTGGTTAACTAGTTTCAAATTTAAGAAATAACAAAAGTTTTAATTCCAAAGGTATTTAATTGGATGGAAGTTGTTTAGTTGGCAGTGGGTATTGGTTGTTAAGTATTGATGGCCAGGCAAAGTATTTAGGTACGCAGGTTGACGCTGCGGGGTATGATCAAATAATAAGTGCCACTAAACATGAAATATTAATTGTAGTCCAGTTCCTCTCATTGATTTCATTTACAATCTACTGTCAGTTTATAGACAACTGCGAGTTTGGTCAAACAGTTAAGTAGCCGTAAGGAATGTCTGCTTACACAAAGCCCAGGTCACAGAGAATAACCTGAAATGGGAATGCATATAAGCACCGTAATGGAAGCAACACTGTTGGAGAGTTGGTTTCCTACAGAGTGGCATAGCAACATGACGAGGCAGAGAGGACGATGGAAACACAGCCTTTCTATATTAGGCTGTGGAGCAAGTTCAAGGCACGATTAAAAGGGTACAACAGACTCAATATTGAGATCCCAGCTGACGAAGCTGTGACCATTAACGATTTGAAATACCTTTCTCGGACTGCTTTGGGTGCCAGGGAAGGGAGCCCAGGCTGTGTGCCGTCAATGGTAGAAACTGATACTTTAAACCTGTGGTACCAAAGCTATTATGTATGCAATAAACATAAATGCCCACTTTTACAGCCGGATTTGTCTTAAATATTAGTTTTAACTTGGGCCAAACTTATCTCAATAAGCTTAGATTAGAAATTTAAAATGGTTTAAAAAAAATACTTTTTTAACCATATTTTTTCCCAATTAATTATACTTTAATATACTTTTTTAAACCATTTTTAAATCTTTAATTTAAAATAATTTTAAATATTTTTTAATTAAATAATTATATAATAATAAATAAAAAATTTATTAAAAATTTTAATATTTATTTTATATACATTTAATTTTATTATAATTATAATAATAATTAATTTTTTATTATATTTAATTATAATATTTTTTATAATTATAAATTAAATTAAATATTTATTATAAATATATTATTATTATTGTTAATTTTTTTTATTATTTTTTTGATTATTTAATATATTTATTTATTTAATTTTTTATAATGTTATTTTTTATATAAATAAAATGTAACCTTTTTAAATTTTATATTTAAATTATTTCATTTTTTTAATATTATATTTTTTATTTTTTTTTTATAAAAAAAAATTAATAAAATAATTTTAATAATAAATTTAATAATAATATTAAAAATAAAATTATATTAATTTATTATATATAAATAAAAAATATTATAATTAATATATATTAATATTAATGAAAAAAATAAAAATATAATTAAATATTTAAACGTTTTATAAAAAAATAATTTTTAAAAAAAATAATAAATAATAAATTTATAAATAAAAAAATAATATAAATAGTTAAAATTTTAATAAATTTATATATTTAATAACGTTTAAACGTAATTAATATATAAATATTATTTTAAAAAAAATATATAATAAAAAAAATAATTATAATATATTTATTTTATATAATTAATTTTTTATTTTAATATTTTAATTTATTTTTAAAAAATTTAATTTAAATTTTTTTATATTATTAAATAATATATTTTATAATATTAAAAATATTTATAATACAAATTAAATTAATAATATTTTAAAATTTATTTAATTTTAAATATTAATTAAAATATTTATATTTATTATATTTTTAAATATTATATTTATTTAAATTAAATAAAAAAAATTTAAATTTAAAAACTTTTAATTTTTTCGTTTTAAATTATTTAAGTTTTTTTAATTATATAATGTTAATAATAATTATATTATGACTAAAAAAAAGTCACGTTTTTTATACATTAAAAAAAAACATATATATATAAATAAAATATATTTTTAATATATTTTTTTAAAAATTATTATTATTAATACATTAACTATTAGTCTTTTAGCTTTTTACGTAAAAAACATTTAAATTTAATATGGTTTTTACCTTATTTTAAAGATGCCAAAAATAAAAAACGTTTATAACTATTTTAAATATTTCCTATTTAAAACCTATTTAAATTAAATCTTATAAATTTATTAAATAATTACATTAATTTAATAAATCTATTTATTATTTTAAAATTATTCCGTTTTTATTATATTATTATATATATATAAGTTAAAATAATTTAAAATTAATTTTAATAAAATAGCTAAAGTTTACATAAACTACTATTAACATTTTAAAATAATAAAAAACCTTTAAATAATATATATTTATTTTTATATTAAAGGTAAAAAATATTTAAATAATATATATTTATTTTTATATAAAGGATAAAAAATATTTAAATAATATATATTTATTTTTTATATTAAGAATAAGAAATATTTATACGATTTATTAATATATATACAAATTAATATTATTTTATATATAAATAAAAAATAATTTAATATTAATTAGAATATATATAAATTAATTTAATAATAATAAAAAGTAAAAAGTATTTATTATAAGGTTAAAATATATATAAATTAATATAAGAAAAGGTTAAGGTTTGAAAATATTTTAATAATATAAATTCATTTATTATATTAAAAATAAAAAATATTTATATAATTTATTAGTATATATATAAATTTGATATTATTTTATAAATAAATTAAAAACAATTTTATAAAAATTAATTAATAATAAATAATAATTAAATAATAATAAAATATATTTAAAATAATATTAAAAAAGTTTTAAATAAAAAATATTTAAATTATATATATAAATTAAATTTATAAAAGGTAAAAAATATTTATATAATTTACCAATATATATATTAATTTAATTTAATTTTATTAATAAATAAAAAACAATTTAATAAAAATTAATTAATAATAAATATTAATTTAATAATATTTAAATTAATTCAAAATTATATTAAAAAGGTTTTAAATAGAAAATATTTAAATATTAATAAAAAATATTTAAATTATATATATAAATTAAACGTATAAAAATTAAAAAATATTTAAAAATAAATAAAAAATATTTAAATTATATATATAAATTAAATTTATAAAAAATAGAAAGTATTTATATAATTTATTAATATATATATTGGTTCGGTTTAATTTTATTAATAAATAAAAGGCAATTTAATAAAAATTAATTAATAATAAATATTAATTTAATAATATTTAAATTAATCCAAAATTATATTAAAAAGGTTTTAAATAAAAAATATTTAAAGATAAATAAAAAATATTTAAATTATATATATAAATTAAATATATAAAAAATAAAAAATATTTAAATTATATATATAAATTAAACATATAAAAAATAAAAAATATTTACACAATTTATTAGTATATATATAAATTTAGATTAATTTTATTAACAAATAAAAAATAATTTAATAAAAATTAATTAATAATAAATAATAATATAATAATATTTAATAAATTATAAATAAAAAATATTTAAATATTAATAAAAAATATTTAAATTATATATATAAATTAAATATATAAAAAATAAAAAATATTTAAATAATAAATAAAATTAAACCGGTAATATTTAATATATAAAATTAAAATCCTTACTATTTTAATTATATCTATTATATATTTAAATTATTTTTGTTATATATATATTTATATATTTATTATAAATTTATTATATATATAATTTATTGTTACGAATCAAAAGGCTTGCAGCCCAAAGAATAGGCCAAGCGTTGGGCGTACAGGCCCTAAAAATAGGAATAACCCCAAGGTCACATACCAAACACGTAACCTCTTTAAGGCGTTTCCCATAACTCCTATTAAGCTTAAGGAATAAGGCTCCCCTAAGACTTTAAAGGCCTTAAAAAACGTATACTAATAATTTTAATATATAAATACTTTTATAATCCTTTAAATTTTAAATAAAATTATTAATAATTAATTTAAATTATATTAAAAAATTTATTAATTTATAACCTTTTAAATTATAATATTAACATTATTACTTTAAAATTAAACCCCAATTTTATAATATTTTAATTATTCTTTAATTAATGTTAAAAATTTAATCCAAATATAAGAAATTAGAATAAATTATCCTTTTTACATCCTTTTTTATATTAATAATAATAAGGTTTAATCCAAATCTTTATCTTTTTTAAACTTATTAAAAATGTTTATAAAATCTTTTAAAAAAAATTAACCAATTTATAAACAAATTAATTAATATATTTAACATTAATAATATAACCTAAATAATAAAAGATTTAATTTTTATAAATATTATATAAAATATTATTAATTAATTTTAAAATTAAATTAATATTTTTAAAAATTAAATTATAAACAATATAATAATTAAAGAAATCAAAAATATAACTTTTTTAAATATTAAATTAATATTTAAACCACTACCTAAAAAATATTAATTTTAAATATTAAAATTTTATAATAGAAATTTTAATCTTAAAAAATTTATTATTTAAAATTTAACCTATTTTAAATTTTATAAAACTATTTTAATAACCTTAAAATAATAAATATTAACTATTAAAAATCAATTAATAAAAAATATACTAAAATGGTTTTACCTTTTATTTTAAAATTAATTAAAATATTTAAACAAAAATAAATAAATAATTAAAATTTAAAAATTATTTAACTTATTTAATAAATTTAAAAAATAAATTAAAAAAATATTTAAAAACTTAAATTATAAATAAATTACTAAAAAAAAATTATTAAATTTAAAATAAATAAAATTAATTTTTTAATATATAATAAAATTTAAAAAATTATTATTATAAATAGATATAAATTAAAAAAAAATATTTATAATTTATTATTAAGGATTTAAAGAAAAAGTTTAGGATAAGGTTTATTTTAAAAATAAATTTAATATATTTAAAATTTATTATAAAATAATTATTAAAATTAATAATTATTAATATTAATATAAATAAGTAAAAAAAAAAGAAAGAAGGATAATAAAATAT